TCTCCGTCTCGAGGATTACTTCATTTTCTGCCAAGTTGAAACAACTTTTCATGCAAAAACAAGGTGAAGTTGGTTTGTTCAAATTGAGGCGCAGTTGAACTGGTTTTTCTGGTGGATGGTCATACCTATAGCTTTGGGCTTTAATTTGCCTTCTCTTAAGAGTTCTTAGACCCAATATTTGGCTTTGGCCCGGCAAACCCACTTCCCTTTTCGTAGCATGTAATGAAAAAACGCCCAAAGAGAGACTCACTGAAATTTGTTACATGTGCATAAAATAATCATCTCATCAAAAAACGGATAGAAACTGTAAGTTGGTGCTAGTCCAAAAAAAACTTTGTTGCCTTCTTATTTTCTCTTTAATAACAGAGTATTGAGTCCTGGAGCCTTCTAAATAATATAAGACTAGACACAGAAAACTTGATTCCACATAGATCAATTAAATTATGCTTGAAAGCAAGCCTTCTGCTGATATTCAATTGACAGCAAAAAATAAAGATAAATCATCTCTATTTATTGGTACCAACCAAAAACAAGAAGAGAAAAAAGGAGTCGGCATCAATTTAACAAGAGGCCAAGTTTCCACAAAAAATCAACCTAACGTGCCATAGATAAGAATACTCTGTACACATAGTCACATACCTCAGCTCCAATTTTCACGTCCTTAAACATAATCATTTCCAAAGCTGTAGGACTGGCACCCAAAGTTGAAGAGCATTCTGTGTCGCTACCACATCGAAAATTCTCACCCGCAGAAGCTGCAGAAGAAACTTGCTTGTCTAAGAGAGAATTTTGAGTGAATGAGTCCTCATCACCACTATTTTCATGGTTGATGCTGTCATCATCATCTTTATCATTGTCAGTGTTGTTGTCAGATCCATAATATGATGACGCATAAGTATACATCTTCAGCTCCAGTTTTGTGATTAAACCTGGATTATGGAGCACATAAATAAAATTAAACGTTCAAAACCTAGGTAGTAAAGGTTTTCTTTTGGGGGGAAGAAGACACTAGCTCACAAAAATATTTATATAAGACAGTTGCAACGGAGAAAAAATATCATAAGCAGCCCTGGTGCATGATGATGCTTCTTAAAAGATAGTTAGAGTCCCCCACTGTGCAAGGATTTTAGAAACTTTGTCTAGGGTTCAACTTGGTTTTGACACTATCTCTTATGGTTTTGCTTACGAATTAAGAGTAAAAAAGAAAGAAAATGAAAAGAACAACACATCATATTCATCACTACCTTAACAGGACAAGAAAAGCTTGCATGCTAAGTTAGAGCTTCAAAGAGAACATTCACAACTAAATATTCTAGTTCAGTCATTAAAATACTAAATGTAATCTAAAACAACAACAATAACGAGTAGACATGATGATAAATTGATTTCACTGTTCAGATGCCAGATAACCACCATTATAAGCCCTGGTTGATAATACCAACAATTTGAGCAGGAAATATAAAGTGGAAAGAGAAATATAGAAGCATAGAACCATGATATAAATCATCCTAAAAGTCTATTGTAAAACAGAAACAAGCACAAAATGCATATCGGATGCTTAAAACAGGGAAGCATATTATGAAACAATTATACTTAGCTGGCATAGCCATAACTCATGGAACAAACCTTCAAGTTTATGAGTATTACCTTAGCTTTAAGTTACAGTAGCAGAAGGGGGAGAAAGGTAAACAGGGTAAAAACAAAAACCACTGATGAGTTACAATATTTTTTATATGAAGTGATGAGTTACAAATTGACCGACAAATTATGCAGCTCCTATGGCGGCCTGACCTAATGATGATATTCCCCAAGAGAATATTGGACAACTTTAGTGGTCAATCTTATCTTTGACAGACCACCCAAAAAGTATACAAAGTCCCACTAAGAAATGTAATATCATGTATATTAAATAGATCAACCCCTAAACTGTTGAAAGATAGGTTCAGAATTCCCAGTTGGTAGAAGAATTACTTACAGATCTGCCAGAGGAACCATCCCAAACCCATGGTACTCATCTACTTCAAAAGATCGAGAAGCAACAAGACTTTTTGCAGCAAAATATTCTTCTACACTGAAAAATTGTGGATTGAGCTTTAGAGGTGTACCCATGAGAAGGAGAATGCTCTCTTTCCAATCCTCATAAATAAGAACTTTATCTTCTTTAACTGTCTGCCTACAAGTGGACAATCAATCATTAAAGGAAAAGCTCCATGGTGAGATAATATAACTCCTTTATAAGAGCATATAATATCAGCTGCAAAGCCTTATGAATAATGGAAGAGATAGCCATTCCTCTATTAATTCTTTCATCATGTCGTCAGAAATAAAACATGTGAAGTTAGGTTTTACTTTTGCAGATACCATGGAGATAAATATCTGAAACTTATGCGACCACTTTTCAAACTATCACTAAAAAACTGCATATCTTAACCAACCTGCAACGTCATTTCTATCAGACATCTAGATCAGCAAGCCAATGGAGGCTCAACCAATTGAAGGAACAGGCATCAGATACAAAATCAGTTTGATACATCTCAAACACAATCCACTCATCCAAGGCAAAATGACGCCAGAAAAGAAAAACCAAGTCTGAACAAAATAAGCTACAAGTGATACGACAACTTAACCAATCGCAAGACTGATGCTAGTGGGAAGAAATGAATACAAGTATTTCACAAAAGCAATTTACTAATATATGCAGTAACATACAAATAAAGAAATGAATACATGTATTAAACTAGTTCATTTTACACCTTATGAAGCTCAGTGCCACGTAGAATAGAATCCACTTCATCAACAGACCAAAGAAAGGGCAAGGACTCTTGATGAGGTAATAGATGAAGGTAACCAGTCCAAGAGCAGGCTTCACCTAAGCTCCTCTCATACATCAAAGCCACAGAAAGGCCCAAACAACCATCCAAACCAGCGGATTCAATCATCTCACTTGCCCCAGTTGTTCTGATTGCGAGGCAAGCTTTCTTTGGTAGCTTTACCACTACATCTCCTTCCTTTAAATCACAAAGAGCTCTCAGAGAAGCTTCCCTTCTTCAGGGTTGTCCAAAAGTTCAAGTCAATCGCTGCATTAGATTCCTCGGGATTTCATCCACCTCTTGAATGCCCTCAATCTTCTACCAAGAGAGGCAGGTATTGTATTTAAATAAATCGTTAGAATACAAAACTACCTTTCATATTCTATTAAATGAGAGCAAAGGAAAAGAAATTAGCATGAACAAAACTCCACCCATTTTGGAATTGATTGTTATTGATGGTTAGGGTTTGATTCTTTTAATTTAAAATAATTTTAGAGTCTGCTAGTTTTTTTGTTGAAGGGAGAAAGAAAAAAAAAAATTGACTATTTAAATTAAGAACTATAATCTTTTAAAAAGATACATGAAAAAATACATATTTTCATTATTTTCAATTTAGTCCATCATCAAATTAGAAATAACAATTTGATCTCTATGTATTAAATTCATGATAATTTTAAACCTTAAAATTAATTATCAACTTTATTAAATCACCAATTAAATTAACTATACTTTAAGATAGCAATACATATTAAAGCCCCAAATGTTGAAATCTTTTCCAACATTCTCTTACTTGGGCCACATATGTTGCCTTATAAATATGTACAACCTTATGAGCTTAAAATTTTGCTATCACACAAGATATTACGAACAATCTCATTCATTAACTATACTGATATGGGATTAAAGGAATTTTCGTCACACTTAACGTAACTAAATTCACCAATAGTCACACATATCAATATAATCAAATGATATACATCAATCATGGATGTATAGCATGAAAATTACATGCAACGTGACTCAAGCATGTCTATTTACAACTGGTCCTATTTTAAACTTTATTGAGATCAAACTTTAATACAATAAGATAGAGTGAGAATAAATTGAATACTCTATTTCTACAAAAAAAATATCAGAATACGTAAAATGTATCCATAATATAGAATAGAGCAAAAAAACACACACGTATAAACTTCCACTATATAAAAATTTCCTAAATGATATAATACCCATATGAGTAGTATGCTTATGAAAAACTTTGATGTTAATCCTTTAATAAGTAGATCCGCAATCATAGAGTTTGTTTCAATGTGCTCTATAGAAATCTGTCCACATATACCTTTTCTTTAATAAATAGGAACTTTATGCCAATATGTTTTGACTGAATCGCACACCTATTGTTATTGGAATATAAAATTATTAAGTTATTGTCACAATATAACTTTAATTATTTTTCAATACTACTTAAAATGTGCAATCCAATCACAAAATTTTGCAGCCATAATCCATGGTTAGATGTCTCATAACATGCTACAAATTCAAATGTCATGGTGGAAGAAGTTATAAATATTTGTTTAGCACTTTTACAAGAAATAGCTCCTCTAGCCAATTTATAAATGAAGCATGAAGTAGATCTCCTACTATCTTGACATTCAGCATAGTCAGAATCTAAATATCCAATAATCTCCACATGATCGGACATCTTGTATGTGAGCTTGTAACTCTTAGTTTTCTGTTAG